CCTGATCCTCATTTTAAAATGTAAAGACTGATGTTAAAACTGGATGTTCTAATCTAATTAGTTTATATGCGGAATCCCAAAATGTAATCTGAATGCAGCTGAAGTTAATGAGATTTGGTATTGCCTGAAATGCTACTTTGTGTGTTTTTTCCAAAGCCACTTGCTAACTTGCCCCCCCCTTTTTCTTTTATCTAGCTTCTGTATGACGACTGCGTTATTGGAGGACGATTTGTGCCTTGTTAAAGCAGGAGGGTTGCAAACAAAATGTGAACGATTACTGAACTATCACACTGCACAGCATAGAGCATGTTGTCATAACAACAGGTATCGCAGTTCGAGCATGAATTGTGGTTGTCAGACACCAGGAGAAATCGGGGCTCGTTTACACCAGAGAGTTGATTGTCCAAATAGATGAGCAGAATGAGAAACAGAGGGTCCAGCTACATATTGGCTCAGTACTCCGCAAAAGGGCTGGCCAAATTCTCACCATCCTGCGGGAAAACATTCTGAACGCGTCTGGCAGGCTGATGAAATGCATCCCAGAGACTGAGCTCAGGTGTGCTTTGTACTGCGCAGCAGGCAAAGGCGCACATTGCAGCCTAAAGTATAACCTGTTGTCCACCCACAGGAAAGTGAACAATAGCATCCAGACTGTATATTGTATGACCCTGTGCCTTCCCAGATGTATATTATGTATATATTGTAAATTTTGTGAATAATTTTTTGGTACTTGCAATGTGTATATTTATTTTTAAAAAATGAAAAATGCACTGGATTGGTGAAAATCTTTCTGCTGAATCATCTGTTCACTTTTTCCTCTTGGTTGTCCAGTTAGGGAAAAACAACCTCATTCTCGCTCACATTTTCAGGAAAGCTCCTGAATTAATTGTCCAGGGCAGGGGGTGGAGGTGGGACAGCCACATATTATTTTGTATAAGAATCTTGGGGGGGGGGGGACTACATCAGTTTGAAAACCACACATGCAATATGTTAGGCAGTGAGGGTAACATCCAACCAAGTAAAGCATTAGAACTTCACCGCCAGTGGGAAAGACAATGGGCCTGTGCTGAAATCGTCTGTTAAAACCAGTGGCATGCTTATATCTGGTTTGCACTCAAAAGAAATGGCAATAGTAATCCATGACGGTTTGCACATGATAGTTTCACAAAACTGGGGGTGGTGGTGGATCAGATTATTGGGTGCTAAGGACAGTGGAGTGACTTGAACTGTCAAACGTGAAGGGTTTTTTATCACACAAGGTCTTTCGCATCATTTTAGTGATTAGGGAGTCACCAGTGTTGTCAGCTTAAAACTAGGACTTCTTTGAAATGTCCATCATGAGCTCTCGTAATAATACACAGTGCTCTCTCTACTGTTCACACTTGCATAAGTTGGGGCTGTTCCTCCACCAAACTGTTAGAACCTATTCATTAAAAAACTATTCATAAAAATCCCATATGGAAGTTTAATACAAACTTAAGATATGCATTTTCTGTAGGAAAGTGGGCCTAATTATCACTAGGTCTTCTATGATGGTTACAATAGGAACAGATCTCCCCAGTGGGTTACTGTCAACCAAGACTATTGAGTCACTGACTGGTGGCTGTATTTGAGAACGGTTACAGTGGATTGGTTCCTAAATGCCCTTGTGCAAGCAGCTTTTCCACTTCTGCAAGGAAGCTTATCTTTCTGGCTTTCTTATTCATGCTGCAGCTTACCCAGCACTGTTCTTGAGGGACCCTTGGTCCTCAGGACCACCTTTTTAGGGGGCACAAACAGCCAGAGATGAGGGGAGAGGGCAGGAAGGATCTGTTATGCAAGCAGAGTTCATTCTTCTAATCCAATTTGGTGCCTCAATAAAGGATAGAGAATGGTAAACAACGTTCAGAAACCATGATGCCTGGGAGAGAAGGGATAACTACCCCTCACTTGAATTGTCTCCCATAATAGTTGTTGATCATGTCCTACCGTCTGTGCAGAAGTAAGAGCTTCTTCATTGGACCTTTGGGCAGAAGTGTTGCAAATCAAATCCAAAGTCATATGCACAGCAGATAGCTTAGGAACGTTGCCATAAAGCCAGCCAGGAGCATAGGCCTGACTGTGCCATGAACATAAGAAGTGCTCTGCTGGATCAGACCAGACATCCATTTAGTTTAGCATATTGTTTCACGCAGTGGCCAAACAGTTAACCTTGAGGACGTAGAGGCCGAGGCCTCCTTCTTACATTGGCTTTCAGAGGTTTGCTTCCTCTGAATATAAAGGTTCCCTTTACTCACCAGTATAGATTTACACTCCATGAGTTTTTCTAGCTCACTTTTAAGCCATCTGCTCATAGCCATCACTGCACTACATCCACTGGCAGTGGTTTCCAGTTTTGGACTCTGCTGCTTCCTATTTCAGTGGGACAAAAATCCCCATGGACTTGGACCACTTGTGGCACACTATACAATTGGTTTTACTTCTTAGCTGAACCAGCTTTAGTAATCCATCACATTTTGGCTTTCTATAGTTTAAGGATGTTGGTGCCCAAACTCCCCTAAACTGACCTTCATTGCCAATTTGCTCAATATTTATATTTATTTTTATATTTATTATTGGATTTATAACCCGCCCTCCCCAGAACAGGCTCAGGGCGGCTGACAAATTAGGCACTTTATACAATAAAGTGCAGGTGCTCTAGTCACAAAAGTCCTTAATAACAAGATGGGGTTCTGGTAAGGATGGTCCCAGAACAACAAAGTAAGTTTCAGACAGCACTGACATCCATTCTTCATCCCAGGGCCGTCTCGCTCCCAGATGGTACTTACTCCAATTGGTGGTGGTGCAATGATGGTACAGTGGTGGTGGCGGCTCCTATTCAAAAGCCCTGTGGAAGAGCTCCATCTTACAGGCCCTGCGGAACTGTGCAAGGTCCCGCAGGGCCCGGATCTCCTCCGGGAGCTCATTCCACCAGGTAGGAGCCGTCACTGAAAAGGCCCTGGCCGTGGTTGCAGCAAGTTTGGTATCTTTGGGGCCTGGGGTTACCAGGAGATGTTGAGTCCCCAACCGTAGTTTTATTTATTTTTTTATTTATTGTTAACATTTCTACATCGCCCTCCCCGCGAGCGGGCTCAGGGCAGCTTGGTGCCCTTGGGGGAACATATGGGGAACAGCGATCCCTCAGATATGCCAGACCCTGGCCATATAGGAACCAGCACTTTGAAGCGAACCCGGTATGCTATTGGCAGCCAGTGCAGTGCTTTCAGCACAGGCTTGATATGGTCCCGCCTAGAAAGACCCATCAACAGTCTGGCCGCAGCATTCTGCACTAGCTGCAGCTTCCGGATTTGTGACAGAGGCGGCCCCATGTAGACAGCGTTACAGTAGTCTAGCCTCGAGCTGACCGTCGCATGGATCACTATGGCCAGGTCATTGTGGTCAAGGAAGGGAACCAAATGCCGTCCCAACCCCAAACTAACCCGACTCAGGCTCAGGACCTCCGTCTTTGCCAGGTTTAGTTTCAGCTAACTCAGCTTGAGCCAACCAGCCACAGCTTGCAATGCCCGGAGAAGGTCGTCTGGGCCGGAGTTCGACTGGCCACCCAACATCAGATAGAGCTGGGTGTCATCTGCATATTGGTGACACCCAAGCCCACAACTCCGGGCAATCTGGGCAAGGGGGCGCATGTAGATGTTAAACAACATCAGGGACAGCACCACCCCCTGAGGCACCCCACAATCAAGAGGATGCCTCCGGGACCACTTAACCCCTATCGCCACCCTTTGTCCCCAACCTTGGAGAAAAGAGGCAAACCATTGAAGGGCAAGCCCCTGAATCCCCATGTTGGCGAGGCAGTGGGCCAGCAACTGGTGGTCGACCGTGTCAAACGCGGCCGACAGATCTAACAACAACAGTGCCGCCACACCACCTCGATCCAGATGCCTTTGGAGGTTGCCAGTCAGAGCAACCAGCACCGTCTCCCTCTCATGACCTGGGCAGAAGCAGGATTGGAAAGGATCTAGGACAGAAGCATCATCCAGAAAGCCCTGTAGCTGTAACTCCACCGCCCTCTCAATAAGTTTGCCCAAATAGGGCAAATTGGACACCGGCTGATAGTTGGCCAATTCAGCCAGGTCCAGAGATGGTTTTTTCAAGAGAGGGCGGACCATCGCTTCCTTGAGCACTCCGGGGAACCGTCCCTCCGAATAAGGTGATAATATATCAAGGATAAGCTGATAATATATTTAGTCTTTACTCTTTCACATGTGCTGAATAAATGCACTTTCAATGCGCTTTGCAACTGGATTTTACTGTATGAAACAGCAAGATCCACTTGCAAACTATCACTAAAGTGCAGTGACAGTGGATTAAAAGAGCATTGTTCAGCAGTGAAAGTGCATGGTGGAAGTTCCTTGTTGAACAGTAGTGAGGTTTGTAATATATACTGTGGGGGTTTGTAGTAAAAGGGCTATCACATAGACAATGCACAAGATGGAAGATAACCTGTTTGACCTCTTCCTTTAGCAAAGACTCACGGTGTCAGCCCAGTTTGTAAGGGTGGGGGTGCTAGTCAGATCCACATCCTGGAGGTGTCTTTGAAGATATTCTAAATGATGGAATCAGGGGTTTGTAAATGTTAACTTTTAGAAGGGCTTGACATAGTTTTCAAGAGAAATGCCCTTGGACCCCAGGCACAATTGCATCGTACGTAGAGTGTTGAATCAGATGACTTGTCCATGTTATTTTGTGCTGGATCTTGACTTTATGGGAATGATCACAGACATTGTCATTCTGAGTCAGGGTTATTCCCGGGCCTCCCTTTCTTGTTTGCTGGCATGATCAGAGGTCATGCTTTAACATTTCCTGGTGGCAGACATGGATGTTAATGTGCTGAATTTGTAATTCAAGTCTGTAGCTAAAAATGTATTTATTTAGTACACTTTTATACCTCCCCCCCCTTCCATCAAGGTGTACATCTTTCTCCATTTTATCCTTACAACAAGTTTGTGAGGTCAGGATGGCAAAGAATGAGTTACTGGCTCAAAGTTACCCAGCAGGCTTTGTGTCCAAGTGGGGATTTGAACCTGGGTTTCCCAGATCCTAACGCAGCACATTACCCACCCAATTCTGCAGATTCCAAAAAGAGGCAATTTTGCTGCACTCATGAAAATAAACTCACTTTGCCTAAAGTTGCTGAAATGGAATACTGCATTTTGAATCTTGTATTTCAGATTTTGCAAAACTGGGAATTCGTTGCACAAAACAGTGCAGCAAGAGGAAACAGAAATATAAAACATATTCTTATACAAGTATAAGCCAAAAAGACAAGCAAAAAACAAAAAAAAGATGAAATGAAGCCTGAACTTTCCCTAGAAGCTAAAATGACTAAACTGAAGTTATCGTACTTTGGTCACATTATAAGAAGACAAGAGTCATTGGAAAAGACAATAGTGCTAGGAATTGTTGAAGGCAGCAGGAAAAGAGGAAGACTCAACATTAGTTGAATTGATTCAATAAAGGAAGCCAGGGCCCTCAGTTTGCAAGACCTGAGCAAAACTATAAATGATTGGATGTTTTGGAAGTCATTAATTCTTAGGGTCACCATAAGTCAGAAGTGATTTGACCATGCTTAACAGACACACACACACACACAAATTTCAAATATAACAACATCCTGACTCTACAAAGTAAAAAGCAGA